AAAAAAATGCTATACTATAATGAACATGAAGATTTAGTGTGATAAGTCAGAACTTTATCTACTTAATAAATTATCAAACTAAAGCTTTATGTTGACATTAGGATAACATTTCCGACCAAATCTGAAAACCAAAAACAAAAACAGTTTGAATGCTTCAACTATGGTTGTGCTATGAATTAAAATCACATGGATACATGACTGAGACATAAAATATTGAACTTGATAGAATTGCATAGTTTTAGTATATAAAGTATAATATTTTGAGGGTTATTCATTTAATTTGACTTCAAATTCTAAGGGGCTGTTCATAAACTTCGTAGACAGTTCAGGGGGGGGGGGGGTTGACAATTATCCACGGTCCATACAAATTAAAAAAAAATGTATGGACAATTTTCTACGCAGGGGGAGGGGGGTCAAGAATCCTAAAAACCCGTCTTCGTAGTTAATGAACAGCCCCTAATCATGAATTCGGAGTCGAAGTCGGCGAATTTTCACTGACTCTTATATCTAGTGCATATCCCTGAGTGTAAGAAGAATAAATTATTAAATTTAGAAGGAATTAATGCTCCAGGTTACGATTCATCTAACTCTTGCGCACCCCTTCTGACATAGCATAAATATAGTGCAGAATGCTAACATACTCAAACACGAAATAACTATACGTTCCCAGAAATTCATGAAGATGATTTTAAATACGTATCGCTGCTTTAGGGTACCCTGCCGGTTAATTTCACAGACAGGACATCATGATTGGATGTGTGACTTGCATAAGGTTTCCCATTCTTGATGAAGTATGTTGGCTTGAATGAGAAAAAAAAAACTATGTTTGGACAGGTTTGATAAATGAAAAAAAGGAAAAAAAAAACTCTTCCACTTAAAAACAGCCAAAGCAAGGCCTCACGATAGTCGCACATGGAAAGATGCACGGTTTAAATACAAACAAAGTAGAGCTGGCTGGCTGGGTTGGTTCATTTCGGGTTGGGCATTTTCTTGTTGGAAATTAAAGTGTACAAAATATATCATATGGCTCAAATTGCAATGTTGTTCTTTTATTATAATTATTATTATTATTAAGGGGGTAGTACACTTTGAACGTCCCAAAAGTAAGGCATTTTCGTTAATTTTTTTAACCAATAAAACACTCAGGGAGGGCAAATATGTTATAACCCATTTATAAGTCATCCTTCGAACTACAATTTGTATTTTTTTTTTAACTCGATTGGCGTCTCCCCGTGGCCTGTGCACCAGGTCGCGCGAGCGTCCTCGCGCGGAAGTCGGAAAACGGCGTGGGAAAATACTCCTTTCCATGTGATCCTGGAACATAAATCGAACAAAAATTCTGATTAGTAATGAAATTTGGGTTAGAAATACGTATTCCAATTTTTTTTATATTAATTTTTTCAAAAGTTGTGGCCTTAGGAAAAAAAGTCCATTTTTTCATCCTAAAAATGCTTACAAAATCGTTGATTAAAAATTCATTTTTGATAAAATCGAAAATGTGGATACGTATTTCTAAGCAGAATTTAATTTTGAACAAGAAAACCTAGACGATATCCAAATTTGATGATAACTGGTTAGAGTTATTTCCCACGCCAGTTTGAAAAACCTCGTTTCGAGATAAACGCATTTAAAGATAAAATTGCTCTCTCAGCGCGCCGGTACATGTTTTAGGAAATTGCTTCGTAAAGCGGTAAGGAATATTCTGGCGGACTTGGAATCTTTTCTAAATTAAAATACACATCCCAAGGAACATTTTAAGCCAAAAAAAAAATGCATTTTTTTTTTTGAAAAATCAAAGTGTACTCCCCCCTTAAGGGGAAGTTCACCAAACCGAAGGAATATAATTACGTTTTTATAAATCTAAAAGTATAGGAAAAGGTATCAAAAATCTAAAAAAATACATTGTTTCTAATATCTTTATGGACAATTTTTCGTGCAAAAACATCGTGGCATAAAGTTGAACTCAAAAAACAACAAAACATTTTGCTGAGGGTCCATTTTTTCTTGATGAGATAGAAAAAAATATTGTTACATGTACATTTTTCAGAAATCAAAGAAAAAAAAAACTGATTCACTTGGATTTTTGATATTTATTAATTTTTAGAAAATTAAAAACGTGCCAAAAACAAACAAATATTTTCGGGGCGGTAAACTTTCCCTTAATCATAGTCTGGCATAATAGCAGTCTTATTGATGTTATAAAATCCCAAAATAATAAGTTGAGCATGATTTTATGATGCTCGAAAAATGACCGCATTATTGACGTAAGGCGGTTTTTGTTGCTCAATTCTAAAATAGTTATATATTTTTTGATTTTTAATTTAAATTCTAAAATCCCCAAATATTGAAAAAAAAAAATATTCAAAGTATTGAAGCAACACTAAATAGCTTTAATTGAAGCTTCAATTAAAAAAAAAATCAATTTATATCCTGCTCTATATTAAAATTCAATGTATGTGTCTGATTCAATTTTGGTAACTTGATAATGCTTATGTTACATTAACCGGAGCGGATATTCATTTGTTAAAATACATTTTATATAACAACCTGGTTTAAACATCTTTAAAGTGCGTCTGATACAATATTACATTTTGATAGTGTTGAATTATGTCAGTTGAACTGTATCCCTTTTGAGTTTTTTTTTATCTGTGTAATAACTATGAAGAATATGATGATCTTATCAAATTTAATCATACTTTCAAAAGCATACTTACATCCCTAGTGACATAATTCTGAACTAAACAGTGCATCCAATAGGTACTGTCCATCTGAACAACATTACCAAAGGCACATGATTCACACAATAGGTCTTATTAATCTGAATAACTTTGACAAAAACAGCAAAGTTAAAGTAAGTGAGTACATAGAAGTCAATTCAGTGTTAAAATTCTTAACAGAGTCATTAGAATCAAATGACACTAGTGGTGAATGAATTGCTGAGAAATTATTAAAAATATAGCATTGCTTCTTGATTCCAAATTCGTCCTACGAGTTTCAATCCCATCCTAACGCATTGAAGCGCCATTGGATTTTTATCGTCCTACGGATGAAGGTAAAAATGGAATGGAAATATTGATTCACTTGTAGCATACAGGTAATTCTAATAGCGAATTTGTTTATTATCGGGGTTGAAACCAGTTCCAACCCAGTGCGAAACCGAACTTTTTGTCAGTGCGAACCTCAATCTGAGTTAGGTTTTAAAAACAAACGATCAAACTGACGTTTGTCAGAAAACAAGCAGACCCGATCTTGATACCCGATCCAGGTTGGAACTGAATAATAAACAAATTCGCTATAAGACTAGAAGGTCCCGAAGAAACGTGCTCAACTTTTTGGCTCAGCTCTGGTACTCTCTTCGGTACCAAGCTAATCGATGCACCCCTTGAAACATAGGATAATCCACAAACCCCTTATTTTATCTGTCAAACTTTCATAGCGAATCAAATCAAACATAGTGTAGTACTATAATTTCGACTAGAACGTTAATCGATTTGCATGGGACCAGTGTTGGAAAAGTTCGCGATATTTCACGAAGTTCTCCAAGGGAAAAGTTCGCGAGTCATAGTGATTTTTTGCGAACTTTTCCATCACTGCTTGGGACCAATACGCTAGTCAAGTAGTGAGACAATTTTAAATCGTTAGTTTCCACCGCTTTTGTTTTTTAGAAGAAAGAAAAAGTGTGTAAATATTTTGAACTAAAGTATCGTACCAAACAAACTGACTCGTTAACGTTGACATCTTTGATATATGTTATGTTTTCTGCTCGATAGGCCCAAAATAAACGATTAGGCCGAAGTGAATTTTTTTTATCAATAAAGACGTAGTCCTACGTCATAAGGCGCTCACCACCTATTGGTAGATCATTCAGTTTTGAACCCTTCTTACATATAAGGGTATACATAAGCTTGGAAAACCAACTTTGTTTAGGATTGATAATTTAAAAAATCTCACACATATATTTTTTAGGTTTAATTTACTCTATATATCAAACGAGGATGATTATTTTCCCCATAATTTGTCTCCACCCCGCTAAAACTTTTTTTTTCGGTCTACCTTGGTTTCTGTGCTGAGCACCAATGCTACCAACGCCAGGGAGGCAGCTCCCACACCTGGACCCTTCCTATCGACCCATCAACTCATGAACCGGAGACCAACGGCTTTACTTCCCGAAGGAAGACGTGATCAGAGATGTTATGCCTCAGAACATCCCGGTTGCGCCGACTGGGATTGAACCCAGGCCTGGTGGGGTGAGAGGTAATCACGCTTACCACTATACCACCGGGGCCGCTACCCCGCTCACACTTGTTCGATTTTGATGGTGCGTTAATTGTGTGTCAAAATCCCAATCGTCTTTTGTAAACAGCTAATTCAATTCATGGCCATGTATTTCAGAGTACTGAACAAAGTTTTTCTAAATTCCATTAAATAGACTAATTTCGTAAACTGTTTCCGAACATTGCACATTCAACAGCAATGGAAGTAAATTCTGATGCATGTCTTGCTTATACAAACATTTGCACAAGGAGTAAACATTACAGTATAGTTATCGAAATTCAAAGCAAAGAATGATGCACTATAGTTACAGCTTTGCTCAAATGATTCAATTTCCTCATCCGGTTTGCGGTGTAGCATTCCTTGAGCTATCACTCGCACTGCAACGTGCTGACGGTACCTTGGGATAAAGAGTTCAACTTCTAGAAATGAATGTCTTTTTCAATAAACACATCTTCTCACCGTTGAAATGGATATTGTAAACACATTGTGTTTCACGTTCACTGTTTTGCTCATCATTTACAGAATTGTTCATGAGTTACGCCAGCATAAACAAACTTTCATTTGATGCCGGTGGAACTGTTCCGGCGCATACTCAATGGGTAGAAATTCCGCCACAAGTGTGAAGGAAGCGAGCGTGATGAGAACAGAGTTCATCCGCCACATGCTCCTACAGTTGAATGGTGCCGCTGGTCAAGATTTCAGTCAACATTTGACGTTCACTGGAGCTAGACGTCTTCTCGTGGAAAACCATTTCCACCGATCCGAACGACGAACATTCTTACTAATGTGGTGGATAGAATCGGCTTAGTGACTTCATTATAACGCGCAAAAAAAGCAGACGGATGTGTGGGATGTTTAATTATCGGCAGGTGCTTGATCAGATTCTCCGAGATTAATTATAATCAAAACACTCTACTGAAAGCGTTTATAGTTAGTGAGATAAGTTGAATTCTGTGTCTGTTTTGTGACTATTTTTTAGTGAAGTTCCAAATGATGATCTTTAATAAAACACGAGTTGCAGTGGCTCAAGAGAAGAAACAAAATAGGCTACACTATCCGTTGCGAGCCGACTTTACAGTATATGGTAGTGTCCGTCACCAGATTGAAGCTAAGCAAATTCAAACCTACTTTGGTGATGAATAAGCTGTGGGATCGTAGTTGAGAAAACTTTTCAGATCGTGATTTTAGTTCTAATTTCTTTGTAAACAAATTGAGAGTGAAAAATCGTTACAGATTGAGAATACCAATTAGTATTACAAAGAGACCTCGGTAGTGACGGAAAATAGATGTTACAGCGTCACACGTACGTTATCGTGCGGTTAATTGAAGGGGAGGTAAAAATTATCCCCTTTAGCTTGGTAAGGCTTTCCATCACGTTCTTGACAGTCAGCAATTTTGGAGCAAAAAAGAAATGTGATTATTAACAGTGACACGATTGTGATACCATGAGCTTTGTACATAATATAAAGGGTAAGTATGAACATGTTTGCAGCCATAATTGTTAAGATTCTACCAGACAAAAAAAAAAACGGCTGCTATTTTCTGAAGGATGATGTTGAATCAGAGATCAGTGATGGTTCTTGAGAATCGAGTTTTGAACACGGATAGGATAGAAACTTTTCAAATTTTTGAGACAGCTGTAAGTTAAAGGATTAAAGGAGAGCACGAACACTAAATCTATGAAAGCGTTTGTTTGAAATGGTGGTGGTTTCAGTTCTTGCTACGGTCGAAAAAGTATACAGCTCGGAAAGTTAAGAAAGTATTTCGGCACCTATTGAGTAATTTTTCATGCTGATTGACCCTTTTGTCTGTATCTTGCTTAGCGTCAAATTGACCCCAGGGCAATTTGACAGACTCGAACTTTTTATTTGGTACTGAATTTGTCTAACTTTTTCGTGAGTCGTGAGGTGTGTTCGTTGGAATGTGTAATACTAGATGAAATCAGCTCATAAATACTTTAAAATACCGCTCGCATCAATGTTCTTCAAAAACATACTTTGACTGCACACTTAGAAATAACTAATTTTACACGGGACGGAATGTAAAATTAAGTGCTCCGAGACTAAAAAGTTCGTTTTTCGATTAAAAGTACGTTTGATTGAGCTATATTTCGCGTCTATTATGACTCAAGTTTATGTCAAAATTGACGCTCGTATAAGTCACTCTCAGAGCACCTAAAATTATATGAATTTTTCTAAGTGTGTGGTATCATTGCTCATTTTGACCCTTAATCCATATATCCATATCTCAGCAATGTTTCAATTGATTTTTGCAACTTTAATTAAAGTAAATTAAGTGCATTTAAAGTCAAAACAACACACTTAGAAATAACTACTGTTACACGAGACGTAAATCACGGACCGTAAACAAACAATTAAATGCTCTCAAAACGAAACATAACCAAGACGACGAAAAGAACGTTTTATTGAATTGATTTTCTCGTTTCTTTCAACTGATTCTTATGTCAAAAAGGCAGCACATGTGTTGGTCTTATGGCACGGAAATTTACATGACTTTTTAGTAGTGTGTATTAAAAAAAAAAAAAATATATATATATATATATATATATATATATATATATATATATATATATATATATATATTGGGATCTTGTATACCTGCCATCATCGACTCGTCCTTCACCGTTTGGCACAGAGCAATAGATTGAAAAATATTTTTTTATATTACATCCAAGAAGATGCACAATCATGTCGAAAATCTCATGTAATTTTTATGACCACAACAATAAACAAATGCAGTAAAAGCAGCGTAATGTCAGTTGCACTGTATCGATGATAATCTTGTCCTTTTTGGCAAGTAATATTACACCATATTTTTGACACACTTAAAGTGCATCCACTGTGCTGTGAGATCAAAATTAGTTTTTTGCTGTGTAGTCAATAATTTTACGCTCTGATATTTTTTGTGAGATCTTCTTTTCGTGTTAATTTAATTTTGTTTACATTTTCACATAACCTTTACTTTATATTGCCGAATAGAGATTCCTAATTATATTCCATTTCCTACTAACACACATGTTCCCTCCCGTGGCATCTATGAATGTAGTATGGGTTCCCTGCACTTTCTTAAATAGATGTTGGACTAATTTTCCTTTCTATCCCCGCGGGTAAACTTCCTTTTCATATAAACCAGCAACTTGAAAGAAATGTTACCTACAAAGATGGAGGGTCCCATACAATTTATGGAATATCTCATGATATATTTCATATATTTACGCGATCGATAATGTAAACACTACTTTTTCGAATTGTGTGCCTTTACTTGCAATATTTGAAATTGTTTTTCAGTCGACATAGAATTTCATGCTTTTTAGGAATTTTCTTGATGACATCGTCAATGTGAGAGTTAAATTTAAGTTTGTCATCAATAATCACGCAAAGATGTTTATTTATATATCTCCCAAACGCGATCAATAGCCTCATCATGAATTACAACAGATACATTATCAATTGTTTGATTCCGCGAAATTACAATGAATTTCGTTTTACTTTTATTCAATTTCAAAAGCTTTCACTTCAACCATCTGCTTCGAGAACAGAAATATTAATTCAAGTGTGCGATGGCAACTTCTAAATCCTTGGCTGCAATGAATAACAAACAGGTTAATTCCCATGGGACTGGAAACAGAATCTTTAAAAACAATCCGTTGAGTTCTGTCACACAAATAGCTTTCAAACCATTGTTTCAAAAGCGCGTTTCAGATAAAAAAAAAACACCTACAATTGTATTTTTACGCTTCTAGTTGTATTTCCCCTTTATTAACGCCAAATTCAACGCGGTTTCACAAGAATCAATTTCTCGATATCTTTAACTCGCTGGTATCAACAAAGAGTTGCTTTTCAAATATTTTAACAGGTGGCCATTAACAACAAGTTTTAAAATTTTTCTCTAATGTATGCAACATGTTGATGGGACGAAACTCTTTGGCTTTAATCATTCCAGGAACTTTTTGAATAGGAACCACTTTCTAGATTACTTCTTAGTTTGTGGCACATGTCCATTCTGCAATGATTCATTCATAAGGTCCAGCAAGATGTACTCTAGCCGATTTTCCTAATCAGGTTCTATTTTGTTATAGTTTGTGAAAACATGTTGACGGAGAGAAGCTTTAATCGTTACAGAAACTTTTTGGATAGGCACCACTAAGGATTCCTACAAAATGTTTGACACACAGAAAGCAATCTAGAATAACTCTAGTTTTAACATTATCTACTCTACCCGATTTTCCTAATGAAAAGCAAATAACTTGTTATTTCAGAATAGCTCGCAATGACGGAGGTGAATCAATCTTGTAGTTTATAACGTCGGTAATAAATATAATAATAATTATAGAAGCATTCAATGAGAGTTGTTCACTAAATTAATTACGGATTTTTTTTTTGTCTCCCGTGCACCTGATTTCCACTTCTACTGATTTCACTACCAAGTAAATCATGATTTCAAAGCTATACCGATGTTTATTTTTGCTCTTTATTGCATGTTCTTCATTTTCTTTATACCAACAGCTTGGGGAAGCGACTATTATTCGATTCGTTAGAAGGAATATTCAACTTAAAATGAAACGAACGCTGATTTTTGCAATAGATAATTCATCGCACGCATAGAAGTATATCCTGAGGTTAATTAGGAATCGACTTGTTTCTTGTGTAACTCAGCATTCAGGCTTGAGTTAAATGTCAGACACATCAACAATTTTATAAATTTACATTTGGTACATTGATCTATTTGATGGCCTTAGTTGAAACATACAGCAATACAACTTTAATGCTACGAAAAAGTATTTAATAAATCAATCATTTGCATTGAATTTTACATGCATCTGTGTTTTTGCATTACAGTGAAAAGTTCAACTGAAATTATTTGAATTTTCAACGAAAAACGATATATGTTTAAATTTTGATCGTTAAATGTGTACTTTTAAATTAAAAAACCTGTTCCAGTTTGTACTAGAAAATTACAAAATATTTTGATGTATTGAGATGAAAACTGGTAGTGTATAAGAGTTATGTGGTAGCTCAATGAAGCAAACTCAATATTTAATTCAGTTTTGACGTAAGTCTACGTCTGTGATTTCTATATGGGGGACACTTTGTGAAAACCGAAAATAGAACATGTAAGAACTGGACCAATTTCAATAATTTTATCAATAATCGATCAGAAATATTTCAACGCATCTTTGAAATCTAAGACTTTATATTTTTCAAAATGTCTCTAATGAAAATTGCATGAATGTGCAACTGTTGCTATGATAATTAAAATTATCACCGATTACCTGCGAAAAGCGAATTCCCTAACACAGATTTCAAAGTTGAATTTTATCCGGTCGCACCAAAAAGTGTTTACTCAATCACCGCGTGAGTGGTGGTGTTCTCCAGTACACAACACAAGGCTCCCCGTAAACAACTACACAGCAAAAAAATAATTTTGATATCACGTCAAAGTGGATGCACTACAATCATGTCGAAAATATGGTGTAATATTACTTGCTAAAAAGGACAAAATTATCATTAATACAATGCATGAACTGACATTACGCTGCTTTTACTGCATTTGTTTATTTATGTGGTCATAAAAATTACATGAAATTTTCGACATGATTGTAGTGCATCCACTTTGATGTGATATCAAAATTATTTTTTTGCTGTGTAGCTATCAAGGCTGACCTCAACCGCTGATCGGATACATTTCCTATCTCCATGTGTGGTGGTGTCCGGTCGTCGGCATCAGCAGCAGCAGCAGCAATGCTTTCAGAGCGTGGCGTTGAACATTGTTCTCCAGTACACAACGTATATGTTGCTGAACTGGCGGCAATACATTATACGCTTGAAACTATCGCCTCACTTGCACCAGATCATTATTTTATTTTTACGGATAGTCTCAGTTCTGTCGAGGCTATTCGCTCCATGAGGCCGGTAAAGCACTCCTCGTATTTTCTCATGAAAATACGAGAGCTTCTAAGTGCTTTATCTTTAAGATCTTTTGTCATCACCTTTGCATGGGTCCCATCTCATTGCTCGATTCCGAGTAATGAGAAAGCGGACTCGCTTGCAAAGGTGGGCGCTATGGAAGGCGATATTTACGATCGACCAACCGCCTACGACGAATTTTTCTTCATTTATCGTCAACAGTCACTCACCAGCTGGAGTGAAGGGAGTTTGGGACGAAGGTTATATTCAATCATCCCTAAGGTGTCGAAGTGTCCTTGGTTCAAAGGTTTGGAGGTGGGTCGAGACTTCATTCGTGTGATGTCTCGCCTCATGTCCAATCACTATTCACTAAGCGCTCACTTGTTCCGTATTGGGCTGGGGGACAGTAATCTCTGTGAATGTGGACAAGGTTACCAGGACGCAGATCACATTATTTGGTCATGTGCTGAGCATCGTGGAGTCAGATCCGAGTTGTACGATTCCTTTCGGGCTCGAGGTAGACAACCTAATGTTCCAGTTCGG